TATCTATCTATCTATCTATCTATCTATCTATCTATCTATCTATCTATCTATCTATCTGATTTATAAGGCTGACCAACCCAAAGAATGTGTCTCTGGATGGCATACCAGATTAAAACAAGCAATAAAAGAAAAAAAAAAACTCAAATTGCATTAAAACATACCAATATATAAACATGGTATGTATTTATGTAAAAATTCACACATTCTCCATGACAAATTGACCCATTTTTGGTGGTCAGAGTGGGAAATGAAAGTGACAGAAGAACTCAATGGCAAATCATCAACCCAACCCAAAAGCTGAATTTGGCTCCAAATTGTCTTTTATTCCCAGAAAAAAACACAAGCTTTTTCATACAGTACTGGAAAAAACAGATGTATTCCTTAGCCCAATATTCATTTTTTGTTTGGGGATGCCTGCACTCTCTCCCATCATCTCATTAATTTGTGTAATCTATTCTCCCACCTTAAGTGAGAATATTAATATCAATTTATAAATTGTCAGTTTATTCAGCTGGGGATGCTGAAGAACCCTGAGGAAGTCTATATGCAAATTACAAGATAACAATTGGTTCCTAGGCTACTGGCAGAAGCATGATGTCCAATCATAAGATATATTCTTATCTAGTATATCATTATAATCTTGCCACGGGGACAATGGAACCTAATATACAGTACTTTGACCTTAAAGTATAAAATATAATAATAGTGAGACAAGGAAAAAAGTCAGAAGACATATTTTCCACTTACTTTCTATCTGTGAATGTAGATCATTGACTATCACTTGCAGTTGCCCAATTGTCATATCTCTCAGGTCTGTGGGTTTTAAACTTCTTTTCATCAAGCATTCACTTATATGAGGCATATGTGGCAGCTAAAAATAACATTAAAACATTTAAGGCATGCATTAGTTTGAGCAGCACACTCTTCGTTTTCAATAATCGACTTCCTGTGTCAAAATGGTAGCAATAACATTGATAATTTTTAATATTATATTAAAGTGTCTTGAACAGTGCACATTACAACATTCATTTAGTGACCATTCAAAGTTACAATGACCCTGAAGAAAATGACTTATAATCATTTTTCACACTTACAACCGTTACATCTCCAGGGCCACATGATCACAACTCAGGAGTTTGGCAACTGGCATGGTTGAAATGTCCCAGGGTCAGGTGATCACCTTTTTGACTTTCTAATAAGTAAAGTCAATGGGGAAGCCAGGTTCACTTAACAATTGAGTTACTAACTTAACAACTGCAATGATTTACTTAGCAACTGTGGCAAGAAAGGTTTGGGAGAAAATCGGGAGAGGGTGTTCTTTGCTTAGTTCCAGTGATATCTGGGAATTAACACTATTCAACGAATTATAGAAACATTACTCATCCAGAGACTATGTTCTTAGGTACTTTTCTTACGTAGTTTCAGCAACTGCTGAAAAGCAACAAGATTGCTACTGCAGTTCATAAGATTGAATTGCAATGCCCAATCTGTAATGACACAAAATTTGTGTACCTCTGTTCTGATATATGAAATACAATTCAAATGCAGGTGGTACTAGGATTATAACAGCAATTGGAACCAATATTTCCATTACTCAAGTTATGTGGTCATAAAACACAATGTCATTTGGCCGTGCTGCTTAGCAATGGCAATCCTCATTTCCATTTTTAAGTGAGGATCGCGTATCATTAAGTGAGGGCTACTGTGGGAGCAGGAGTGATTTAACAGGAGTGACTTGTAATGTTCTTTGCTGGATTCCCCATTGCCTTTGCTTGTGGGAAGCTGGTAGGGAAAGTTACAAATTGTGATCATGTGACTACAGTACGTGGCAACCATCATGCATGAAATCTGGTCACCAGGAGCCCAGAATATGATCACTTACTGCTTGTAAGTCCCTCCCATTCAGTGCTTTTGTAACTATGAATGGCTGCTGAACTAATGGCTGTAACTTGAGGAATAACCATATGTTATTTTTTAAAAACATATTCTAAGTCTACAAAAATCAACACATGCACTTTAATTTATAAATGCTTCCCTCCACAAAGATGATGGGAAATTGGTAACCCCCAAATGTAAGGAAATGAAAGGCATGAATTTTTATGTGATACATACAAGATCAGCTACTGGAGATTTTTTCCTATTCTGTTTTTCCACCTCTACTTGCATTTTGGCCATTGGCTTTGCCATCGCCAGAGCCATTTTAGCTTCAGCTTGAAGTTTCTTTTGTCTTGTGAGAAAATCCATATCATCCAAGGATTCAGATTCCTCCTCAGTAGTATCTCTGTCAGAATAGGAAGAGCTCTGCTTGCTCTAAAAAAAAGCAAATGTAAAATAAGTATGGACATGTTTCTTTTAAGATCCCATGTACTAATGTTAAAAAAAAAAAAAAGAGGATTACCTCACTTTGTAATTACTCAATATATATACAAATAAAAAAGCCACAAATTGATGTAGTTAATATGTGGGCAGAACTATTATACAGGTGTGTATGTTCATGTATATGCACAAAGTTATCTTTGGCAAGAGATACTGAAGCCTCCTTTTCTTCGAGTTTGTTATCTCTGCCATCTTTGCCTATTTTTTTTTAGAATAGTTTGTCTTGTTGTTTTAAAGTGTTATAAAGTTTAACAATCTGTAAGCTGCCCACAGTTGCTGGGAATCAGGCAGCACATACATAAATGAATAGAACTATATGCTTCCATAGCATTTGCACCATCCTTTATCTCGTGATGGATTGCAGTGGGTAGGGCCATATTGGAGAAATCAACAGTGACAAAAAGTACATGGGAGTCACATCCAAAATGGAAGTCCCATGTTTTATTGAGAAATTTAATCATAAAGGAAAAATACTGAATATTATTTAAAACATATTTAAATATCACTATCAAATTTAACCAGCAGATTGTGCATCTCTATTCTAGAAATAGAGAGCTTAGAGCAGAGTTCCCCAACGTTTCCGGCTTTGTGAATTGGCTGGGGGGGGGGAGAGGAAATGGTTCATGGAAGTCGTTGGCAAGTGTGTGCGCAACTCCATTTGAGCGAGCAGCATGCATGAGTGCCGACTGCTCACCCAAATGGAATGCACGTGCATGCACTCGCCTGCTGCTCGTGCAACTGAGGATACGTGTGCACACCTTGCAGCCATTTCCACAGCCCAGTTGCAAACCTCTTACTAGTGGGCCACGACCACAGGTTGGAGACCCCTGGCTTAGAAAGCTGTATAAGGCCTCTCTGTTGCCCATTACTGTTTCAAAACATTTTAGGACTGGATTATTGACAAACCAGGCCACTCGAGAGCAGCTGTCCTTGCCGTGCATGTAATTTCCAGTGAAAATTGATGCCACTAGAAAAGGTACATATTATCTTTTATACTGGTATTTTTCAATCTCAGCAAGTTTTAAAATATGTAGACTTTTAACACCCAGAATTCTCCAGCAAGCAGCTGTGGGAGTTGAAGCTCACACATCTTAAAAGACATTAAAGTCAAGCAACATTATTACATGCTCAAACTACATACATACAAAGGCCTTGAAAAAGTCAGTCATTAGTTTGCCAATAAATGTATTGTATTAAAAGTATATTGAAACAATGATGGAAGAAGGTGGTTTATCCTTCCCAACATTTCTGAAGGATCTACATGTGCTTATCAGATCAACACTCACCATAGGAGACAAAGGTGTATCTAGACTAGTTTCTGTCTTGCTGTCATCAGCATCACTATCTTTGTCACTTCCACTGTCATTGACAAAACAAATTTGTAAATTCATCCCACTCTGTAACCTTGAAAAGAAAGAAGAGTGATAGTTGTCATTTTCTGCAGGGATACTAAATGAACTTAATCAGTGTAAAGTGGATTAAAAGTGGAGTTAAACAGGATTATTTCTAATCTTAAATGTTTACACTCAAAAGCTGCATACTTTACTGTTCATACATTTAAATAAAATCCAATTGGAGACTGATTAACTTAAATGAAATGGCTAAAAATAGATTGGAACAATTATTAATAAACAATTATTAATAAACAAATCTATAACAGAAGACTTTTAGTTCTAGATATTATATTTTTCTTGATATCTGTTATCCATGGTTATTAAATAAAAATTCTTTATTACAGTCATAGGCCTGCATAGGAAGGAAAAATACAGTTACTAATTATAAAAGTTAAAAAATTAATATCTATATCTATCTATAAATAAAAATGAAAAATGATAAGGGTAAGTAAAAATATAAAAACTATAAAAATGAATATATGTCTAACTAAATCTACTCATAATACAAAATTCAATTAACAAATCTCATTACTCATTAAGACTGGTTTGAAATCTATAGAATAATATTTTTAGTTGTAGATATTACACCCTTTCCCGATACCTAGCTGAATCAGTATAGGTAGTCCTCGACTTATGACCACAACTGAGCCCAAAATTTATGTTGCTAAGTCAGACATTTGTTAAGTAAGTTTTGCCCAATTTATGACCGTGCTTTGTTGTGAATCACTGCAGTTGTTTAGGTATAACATTTGCCAAGCATTCTAAATTATGATCACATGACCATGGGAATACTGCTACCATCGTAAGTGTGAAAAAAGGTCATAAGTCACTTTTTTTAGTGCTCTTGTTACTTGGAATGGTAATTAAGTGAACTGTTGTACGTGTCAGGATTCCGGCAGTTACTCCAATTAAATCATGAGCCTCGAGCCACACTCCCAAAACTACAAAGGATTTATTAGAAGTTAACATACCGGCATTTGCCTGGGCATAGCCGACTCTGAGATACGTAATTCACTGTCACCCTTGATCCTGCTTTCCCCCCCACCCCTCTGGGTGTATTATCCAACGAAAAACGTCCATAGCCAAGACTCATCAATCGTGCTCTCCAATTAGATTTTTGCATGGCAGAAGCTTCAGTCATCTAATCAGTCTCTGAAGAAAATATGAATAGAATGTACTTTCGATTCCACACTGCTGCCTGCTCTTTGAAACCCCCCGTCTTCTTTCTGTTGACAACTATAAAACGTGTATACAAAATGTTTTATGAGTTGACAGTAAGTCGAGAACTATCTGTAGTTATAATACAGTGAATTCAGCAATTGAAATGCAGGAAAACAAGTCAGAATAAATGTCACTATGCTCTGTAAAATTATCATCTTAGATAGAGGTGGCTATATGACAGCCAATGTTTGAACTGTAAATTTTATCCTCAAGTCCGCACATCAAAAGGTAGGCAAAATAATCCATACTCCAAAAATTAGGAAAAAGAAGGGAGCAAGACAGTGATTAAAATAATTCTGAGTAGCTTCCCATATGTTACTATTTTTTCATGTTGCATTACAAAATAAAATTCTGTAGCAATGAATTTGCTGCAGAGGCTAAATCCATGCTTCCAAAGTTCACATCTGGCCTTCAGGGTTCACTAATGTTTTACAGGATTAAGTATGTCTGTTTATCAAAAGGGAAGAATGCTGTCTTAAATGCTTAAGACATAAAAATAAGAGGAAAATATATTGCACAAATGTTTATACCAGAGACATAGCTGCAATATAAAATAATGTGGGATTTCAAACAATGAGAAGACTAATCTGTTTGGTTTCAAGGGAGATATGAAAATACTACAATCCCAATGAAATATTTGTCTTTTTCTTCAGAAAAAGCTTTGGAAATTAGTTTATATATTCATTTTAAACAATGATTAATGCATGTGATTTTGAAATTAAAATATATATTGTGCCAATAAAAACTTAATATAATCAAATGCTATCATATAATCAAATTAAGATAGGTAACTGTACTTGGAGATAAGCAATGGAAATTCTGTGTATACTGCAGTTGAAGTAAAATAAAAAATATATACTGTTATATCCAACAACAGTCTTCACTCTGGTCCGCTGCTTAAGCGCGAACCAGAACCATCGCTGATTGGCTGAGCCCTCTTGACAGCTTGCTATAAAAGGGAGCTGTCAAACAGGCTCAGCTGTCACCTGTCAGCCGGCTGCCGAATTAGCGGCGGTACGCCCGGCTGGGTTACATTGTGGCCAATAAAGCCTGTTAACCTTTCCGACACCCTCTGCCTCTCCTTCTTTGTGCGCCAAACTTAAAATATACCAAAAACCACAACATATTCAATTTAGGTTGCAGACATTTGTCTAAGCAACAAATGTCTCCATCATTACAGCAACTCATAGGCTCCTTTGAAGAGATAATGGTGCAAAGAAAGCCATCACAGGGATGGATCTTCTGCTGATAAGCCCTACTGAGGAGCAAATTGTAAGGCACCTTAAAATAAGGAGAAGTATAGTGATTTAGTAGTACCTTTTCTATGGGCCATTAAAGGTTAAAAAGAGACACCCTCTAGTGGATCTCAATTCTTGGAGACCGCACAGATCCAATCATGTGGTTTCCTATTGTTTTCTTAGATGTTTTTCAACCACACAGTTTAGCTTATTCCCTCAAGCTGTCCCATCCCAGTCCAAACCAATTCTAGGAGTCTTGAGTCAGCAGACATAAATCTGTTTGGCTTCATTTTAAATGTTTATTCATCAGTAATCTACAATAATAATATAATTATTATAATCTATCTTATAAAATGGGAAAAACTGATATGCCATGTGTAATTGTCTGAGTGGTATAATTCTAATATCAAAAGCCTTTTAAGCATGCTTACAGATTAATTTTAAAACTGATTTTAATTTCCCTTTGACTGTAAAGCACATTTCCTTTTAAAGGTGTTGGATTTCAACTTGCAGCATTATAGCCAGCACTGAAATTTAAGTTCAACACATTTAGAGAGAAAAAGTTAGCAAACACTAAATTAAGGTAATGTCACCTTAATACAGTGATTTTGAGTAACCATGTTCCCTGTTCTTTTTATCTATTTCTATATCTTAAGTAGAAGGGATCTATGCAAAATAAATTGCTTGTAGTTAGACTTACAATTATTGAACTTAAAAAAAAGCAGGGGAGGAAGGGAAATAGAATGCCAAACTCATGCCTGTTATGAAGATACCTTAAGCACCTCTTAGAAAAATGAAATAATTTACCTAATGAGCATACATTACCAGGCCATAGATAAGCTAAATCTGGAATGTTAAATATTGTCCTAATTTTAATAAAAGGGAGGGAGAAATTACAATGGTGATTTAAACAATTTACCTGCAGCAATAATAAAAATATAATCACTTCTTATTTAGATACATAAATAAATGCTTCAACCATCATTCCTGCTATCTTTACCAATTCTGAGATCAACCACAAGATGGCCTGTAGTACTTTCTGCAATTTGCAGCACTGATTTATGTTGTGGTGGATCCATATTAAAGGTTGTACTTTTAAAATTCAACGATCAGACATCTATTTGTGTTTATACAGAGACATCTGCTAAAACATTATTAACTTGCATGTGAGGCAGAAATAAAGCAATATTTTTAAAAGACATATTTCAATACTACATTGCTGTCCTACTACAAAACAATTGCTCCACAAAAGGGTTTTTTTTGAGGCTGATACTCTTATCATTCTGGATATCTGGACTTCTATTCAGCATTCTCACCATAAATTCCTGAATTGTGTGATGTCAAGCCATAAAACAATTAAGTATAATTAATAGCCACAGATACATAGTAGGTTGCATAGAAAGGCATGCTTTTTCCAGGCATATATGTAATATTCATATAGGAATAATAATTTATAGGAAAATTATTCCAAATTTGTTCTTTCATTAAGAACTTGAAATACGGTAGACAATGAAAGTAATCATCAAGCAAAGACATAATAAGCATATGCTTTGATTTATATTATTCCTTGATAGCTTCCCCCTCACTTCAAGATTTAATTTTGTATTACTCTTCGTGCAAAAGGACAGTAAAATATTACTTTCCATTTACTTTAATGCTTCTTTGGATGCATTATTAATATGTAATATATAATGAATAATTATATGCATATTTTTATGCTATGCCCTTTTCTGCTGAACAAGGTTTTCAATGGATATTAGATTTAAATTTTAAACCTTAAGGCATAAATTACAGATACCCAGGGACTATTTGTTTCTTTGTTCTAGCATTGCTTGCAAAGGGAAATACCATAGGCTTATTGGTACATTTTTTTTGCATAAGGCATAATATTCCTAACAAATGTGTAAGCACATTCTTAATTTCAGGTATGAATTAAGGCAACTTAAGGATTTATCTGTAGTTCTAGTCACCTGGGAATAAATTCATAAAGTTTATTTCTGAATAAGTCCACCATTTGGGTCAGTTCAAAAGCCCATGTAGTTTTACATTCTGTGTAACACAGTCATTATCAGGAAACTCACAATGATGAAATGAAGTTTTCCCCTCTAAAGCTGTGTTTCTGGAGAAACACAGAGAAATAGCATTTGCCGATCTATTCTCCATGTATTTTTCTAGTCCCTGTTTAAAACTTACTTGGGGACATAATGAAATCTAACTTTCACAGTTCAATTAATTGTTCCATTATACTACCAATGTGATGTATAGTTTTGGTTGCTGTTCTTTTGGTTTACCATTTAGCTAACAGATTACTGAACTGTCAGGAAAAATTCACTGGATCAGAAAATATTGAATTCTAGGGTGACTTGAAAGATCCATGAGATCCAGAATGTGATCCTGAATGAAGAAATTGACCTGGTGTATGTTATCGCAATCTCTCTGGGCAAAAATGTGAGTGTCAATTTGAATGAACAATAATGGCCAGGAATTCAAGCACAGAAGGGGAGAAATGATTGAGAACAACATGAAATCATAGAATATCATGATATCACAGAATATCTTGTCTGGCAATGTCATACCATAACATACAAGTCTTTTTTGTAATAGC